GCATGCTAAATCTCTTCTCCTACCCCTGCATTCTTGCAGCAGAAGCTAGGCAAGAAATATCTTTCTAGGAGTTATCTCTAGGAATATCTAAGAGTTATCTCTAGAAATATCTAGAAGTTAAGGCCTCACAAGAAGAATGTTCCTTGAAGCTGGCTTCAGAGTCTTGTCCTTGGCAGTAGGAGAATTTGCTCCTTGGTCTGCAGAAGAGAACCCTGTGTCCCTGATGGAGATTCAGGCTTTCCCCACTGAAGACTCTGAACTTAAACTCAGAGCAGAGCCAGTGAATGCACAAGTTGGCCCCATCTACTCCCGAGTCACGCATCTGTCTGAATCCCAAGAACATTCTCTAATAGTAATTTTCTTTGTTAATTTGGTATGACAATGTGGCCCTGCAAATGCAGAAGTTGGCAGGAAACTTCACCAAATGGGTGAGATCAGAGGGCACCATTTTGTTCTCTTTGAACAGTTAACTGCTTTTGGAATGAAATTTGTCAGAGTTGCAGTCTCTTTTTGTTCCTTGAAACCGCCTAGATAATGGGGAGATTTGGTCTTTTCTCTTAAACTCTTCTGATGCCACAGTGGTCCAGATTCCTTGGTTGCATTTTTGTAGCTGGCTTTCATCCTTCCATTAGGCTAGTTCTGGACTTCCATAGGTACTCTGAAGTTGATCCTTCTTTTCTATCTAAAATAAACCATTAAATTCAATTCACCTTTGAAATACAGTCATGTGCCACATAATGACATTTCAGTCAAGAAGGCAGCATATAGACCGTGGTCCCATAAGATTATAAAACTGTAGTTTTAATGTACCATTTCTGTTTAGATACACAAATACTTAACCATTGTGTTACAGTTGGCTACAGTATTCAGTACAGTACCATGCAGCACAGGTTTCTGGCCCAGGAACGATAGGCTGTACCATCTAGGTTGCATAAGTACATGATTGCACAATGACAAAAGTCACTTAATAAGGCGTTTCTCAGGTCATATCTCCATCCTTAAGCAAGGATGTATGTACTTAATAAAATGTTTAAACAACCACATTTTTGCAACAGAATACTGAAGATACCATTCTGTATGTAACACATAATAATACAGTGTATGTTTACATGATGAGTGATATGGTTTGATGTTATGTCCCCAATTTTAAAAGAGCATCAAATTTTAATACCCCTCTGTATGGTGTCTTTAACACATTTTCTTGCATTCTTACACATTGTGAATGCTGGCCTGCTCTTTGCCAGGCCCTATCCTATATGTCCTGGAGGTAGAAGAAAGAGCCCATGCCTTCAAGGGGCTTATAGTTAGTGGAGATTACAGACTAGCAACCCCTACCTAGTCTTGTAGAGCCTTCTTAGCTGAAATACAGGAATGCCTTTGGAGTTACAGAGATATGTAGGACTATTCCTCCCTAATTCAGGCCAGGTGCTCTGTATTTTTTTACCTTTTTACAAAATTATCTTTTTTTTTTATTTTTTTTTTTTTGAGACAGAGTCCACTCTGTTGCTCTGCTGAGTGAGTGCCATGGGTCAGCCTAGCTCAAGAACTCAACCTGGGTCAAGCATCCTCCTGCCTCAGCCCCCGAGTAGCTGGAACAGGCATATGCACATAGCCGGTAATTATTTCTGTATGTATTACTTGGCCAAATATTTCTTCCTATTATTAAGAGACGGGGTTCTCCGGTCTTGCTTCAGACTGGTTTCAAACTCTGCCTCCCAAAGCATAAACGCCCGCCTCGGCCTCGCCAGATGTGTAGGATTACAAGGCGTGAGCCAGCCCGGCCTACAAAATTATCTTTTTTTTGTGTGTGTGTGTGTGTGTGTGAGAAGGTTCGTTTGTTGCCAGGTAGGTGAGTGCAATGGCGTTGCCTAACTCACAGCACCTCAACTCTGCTCAGCAATTGTGCCTCAGCCTCCAAGTAGCGGGATCTACAGGCATCTGCACCCATGCGGTCTAATTTTTTCTATATTTCATTAGTTGCCATTCAGTTTTCTTTCTATTTAGTTAGAATGGGTCTGCTCTTGCTCAGGTCGGTTCTAATCCTGGCCTCAGCATCCATCCGCCTCAGCTCCCGAGTGCTAGGTTAAGGATGAGCCACTGCACCTGCACAACTTTAATTAACAGTAACATATGCATATAAAATTCAAAAGGGAAAGAAATGTGGAGTGAAAAGTGAGTCTTCCCTGTTCCAACCACCCAATTTTTTTCTCAGATCAGCCATTGCTACAGTTTATGTGTTTTCAGATACTGTCGTGTAATATACTGGGCATGTTCTCACCCCCAATTATATTTTACATACTGTTCTGCTCCTGGCCTTTTATTTTGCAGCGTTCTTAGAGTTCAATATTCAGTGACAATAAGCCGGCGCGGTGGTACCCTGTAATCCTAGACTCTGGGAGCTAGGCGGCGGATGCTAGTCAGGGTTCGAACCAGCCGGCAAGAGCAAGACCGTTTCTATAAAATAAAGAAATTAATTGGCCAACTAATATATTGAAATTAGCGGTCATGGTGTGCATACCTGTAGTCCAGCACTCGGGAGGCTGAGGCAGGAGGATTGCTTGAGCAGGATTTGAGGTTGCGTGAATCTAGCCGTGACGCACGGCTCACTAGCTTGGTCAGCACAGCGAGCTCTGTTCAAAAAAAAAAAAAAAAAAAATCAGTACACATAGGAGTTGCTTTTTCTTCTTAATGACTGAATAGTGTCAGTACTGTAACAGTCCCATTAATGGACTGTCTGATTGTATCCGTCTTTGCTACTATAATTACATTGTGCAGGTGTTCTTATGAAACTACTTTAAATTTGAAAGAACATTGCCAAATTCTCTGATCTCAGCAACTATGAAGTTGGCTTTTCCCACACGTCCCTCCTAAATACATTTTTATTTCTGTTTAAATTCATACCTGTTCTTTTTTTAACTGTTCACATCTTTGTCTTCTTTGTAGTTGGTGTTTTTTACAGATTCATAAGAATGTGTATATCTTTAAAGAAATTAGTTTTGTGATATTTATTGAAATATTTGCTCTGCTTCTTGTGGCCTTGTTGTTATCTATTCGGAACATGGTTAGCCTTTTACTTTTCTTATTCCATGTTGGTAACATTGTTTCTTTGCAACTTTTCCTTTTCCATCACAGCTGTATTAAAGATGACAGAATCATTTGATATTTTTTTAGCTTCTAGTGTGGCTTTTTGGCTGATTCTGGTTCACTATACTTGGAATCAGTGTTTTCAATGTAGTTGTTGTCTGGGGTAAGTGGAGGTGAGCAATAAATAATAACTCAACCTTACTCCGCTGTGAATCAGGATATCATTTTGTACCATTGGTTTTGGATTCAGGTTTAGTATAACATTTTCTACTTTTAAGTGACTACACCTTGCAAGTCTTGCTTTCCTTATCAGTAAATGGGGGTAATACTTACAATATCAAGGTCGTTGTAGAGTCAAATGAGCCAGAAACATTTAGACGAAGAGAGTTTTACTTTTCCCTTTAACCTTCAAGTTCCTGCATTTTTAGATTGAATTCTATGCTGGGGTGGGCGGAGTAACTGCATTTCCTGGGAAGAAGAGGTCCCAGCTCCTAGGTAACATTCGGCATTGTCTTAAATGTTCCTGACAGGCTTCATTCTCAGTTGTAAAAGAGGAACACAATGGAAGCAAAGGTCATATTAAATCAGTTTCTTAAATTGTTTATTCCCCATCAGGGAAAGCGCCTTCTCAATAAAGAAGTTAAACAGCTGATAAAGTGTATATTCTGCAGATCGTGTTTTTTGGCTTGAAACATATCTGATAGCTGGTGACATGTTAATAAGTATGAGTGGTGTAATGTGCTGAGATTGGATCGATTGTTATTACATAGATTTGCTCACAGTGTCTGTCTTGATCTGTTTTCATCCTACCTGTCTGGAAAGATGTGGGAAATCGTTTACTCCCATGGTATTCCTGCCCTGAGAGTGAGGGTGAATTAGCATGACTCCGACTTGCTATATACGTGACTGTTGAGTCCCCAGGGAATCAAATCATGGAGTAGCTACACTCTAAGAATATGTGGGGTACTGATGGGGTATAAGCGGTATAGTTGGCTCTGGGGTTAAAAGACTTGGAGCGGGCGCTGTGGTCACGCTGTAATCCTGCTCTTGGGAGGCGGGCGAGCGGGCGGATTGCTCAAGGTCAGGAGTTCAAAACAGCCTGAGCAAAGAGTGAGCCCCCGTCTCTACTATAATAGAAGAAAATTAATTGGCACGATACGTATTATATAAAAAATTAGCCGGGCATGGTGGCGCATGCCTGTAGTCACAGCTACGGGGGAGGCTGAGGCAGAAGGATCACTCCGAGCCCAGGAGTTTGAGGTTTGCTGTGGCTAGGCTGCGCCACGGCACTCACTCTAGCCTGGGCAACAAAGCGAGACTCTGTCTCAAAAAAAAAAAAAAAAAAAAAAGAATGGATACTTTCTTCTCTCGGAGACTCAAGATTTGCTATATTTAAATGGAGGGTGATTTTAAGTTCCCTTGTCCTTTACCTATGATTTTATTCTTTTTTTTTTATTTCAGCATTTATGGGGGGGTAAACATTAGTTAATACTTGCCCTTGTCTTCCCTCCCCGCTGAACTCTATGATTTTGATCTTCTTATCAGACTTTCTTTTGCGTTATTTTTGAAGTATCATACAAATGGTTTTGAGGTATATATAAAAATCTATGTTTTAAGGGATATGTTGAAATTTAGTCATTTTAAAATAGATGGCAGAAGCCAAAAATAAATGAAAAGTTCAAGTCTCATTGTTGCCCTTTCACCTTGAAAAGTCATTTCACCTCCTTTAGCCTCACTTCCTTCTTTTCCCCATCTATAAAATGAGGGTAACAAGAGTATTGGCTGCATGGGTGGTTTTGAGGTGTCCGTGGATTTCTATAGGTAAAACCCATAGTACCATGCCTGGAATGTGGTAAGTACACCTTCACCTTTGGGAATGGGTGATGAAGTAACAGTCCTTCCTCCTTTTTTTGCAGAGGCCTCGTCCTGCAAGTCTCTTGGGAACACCTCCCTGAGCGGCCCCTCCATCCACTGCCCGTCGGCCGCAGTCTGTATTGGCATCCTCCCAGGCTTGGGTGCCTACTCTGGGAGCAGCGACTCTGAGTCCAGCTCAGACAGTGAAGGCACCATCAACGCCACCGGGAAGATCGTCTCCTCTATTTTCCGAACCAACACCTTCCTCGAGGCCCCCTAGCTCCTCTGTCCCTCCCAGAGGGAGCTGCTCCCAAGGGTAGATCGGACTGTTCATTCTGCCTCCAGGCATCACATCCCTCAAAAAACTCCTTTGCCTGCTTCCTGTGTACACCGTGACACTTTTAACCTAATCTAAAAATGTGCCAGAATCTACTTGTGGCCGGAATTGTGTTTGGTTTTTCTTCCCACTCAGTGCAGAGGCCATACCCGTCCCTCTGCCTCCTTCCTCACTGACGTGACGGAATGTGGGGCAAGGCCCTGCAGAAATGCCACTAACAATGTCCTGAGAGGGGGACAGGCACCAGCTGGCTTGCAGAGGGCTTTGGGTTTTATTGCTTTCTGGTAGTGTCTTTTTTTCCTCTCCCAACAGCATAAAGAAGCAAGGGCAGTTATTGGACAGGTGTCATTTAAACATTTCTTATAGATAGACACGTTGTGTGGCCCTGCTGCATTGTGGAGCATGTGGGAGAAGGGGACTGACCCGGGTGATGAAATGGAGCCCTTCCCTGGAACTAACCAGTCCTTGATGTTGTGTGACTCAGTGAAGACTATAAATTATATCTGCAGGGGGTGTCACTTAACAGCATTCATTGTGAAGTTTGCCCTCACCCATGGCCATCCTTTCTCCCCTCCATCCAGTCCCATTTCTGTAGGAGAAGACTGGCAACGGGAAAGCTTCCATCTTCTCCTTGGACCTTTTCTTAGACTGGCAAATGATTTTGTTTTTGTTTTGAAATAAAAGATTTAGTTTAAGATTCTAAACCTCAGACAGAGGCTTTATTTAATCATGACCAGAAATCAACTGCTGGTAGGTATGCTAATGAAATAACTGACTTCTGGCAGCTCCTGGAATCATAATAATGCAAACCAAAGGGACATGCCTGCATCTGACTGTACTCTACGGAGGCCCTTCTCTGTTTGATGCATAGTGTAGTTGTGGCTTTTAACTGTGGAAGCTATTTCTAGCCTAAAGGTGCTGCCCTCCTGTTTTTCTCCTTTTTTATCTGCTGCCACTACTGCTCTTTTCCCTTCCCAAACAGCAGCTCCAAGGCCATGCAGCCCAGAACTAAAGGTACTGCTCCACCTCGGTGTCTCATAAAGGGACACAGGCCCATCCCTTGGATTGTGAAGGAGGCAGGGAGAGAAGGTACGGAGACCTCAAGGACAAAGGTAGGCATGAGCTTTAAAGAGGTACGAAAGGCCTATATTACCTAAATGTCTTGTTAGATGGGTTGACGGCATACGGACAGTCAGGAACAGCACAGAGTAGTTGTGAAAGGAGGAAGAATTCACAAGGCATCAGTTATGGTGAAGGGAAGTCACCATCTGCCAGTGGGCACCAGAGCGTCACTGCATTCATTGGAAGGGAAAAGGAGTGTGGTTGGATGAGATCCAGGGCCTCTCTGCCCACGTTAAAACTGAGTAGCTCTCTGCTGCCGCGTGCATGTCAACACATTCTACGTGCGTCTCACTCAGTCTTCACCCAAGTAAGTAGAAACAATTGGCGTAGGACAAGGGAGAAAGACTGTACCGGCTCTCCCCCTGAAGCAGGGCTGTGGGGTTAT